GGGTTTTTTTCACCCATTCAACATGGGGAAAAGGAACCTCACCTTAGATTCAAATAGTGTCCCAGCACAGGTAGCTGCTGTTTGTCTGGCTCCAGCTCTGACTCTGATGCCATCTCTGGGGAGACTGTGTTGTGGGGTGGGGTGACATAAGGGGAGATAGTGCAGTGTGTGGCTGGGGGTGGGGGCGGGGAAGTGTGCGGGAAAGATTGCATGGAGGGAACTATGAAGTCTTGGCGGGTGAGGGGTAATGCAGGGGAGACTGCACAATGGCAGAGGAGCTTCTGCAGCTCTGGCTTTGGCTCCAGCCCCAACCCAGGACCAAGGCCGGGGCTGCAGCTGGAGTTGCCACTGTGCCACCACGTGCTCTATGCCCCATGCTGAAGCCAGACGTGCCATATAGGTTGTGTGTGGGGGAGGGGGGAAGCAGGAGCAGGTGACAGAGAGGGAATTGGCAGGGCAGTAGGCACCAAAGGAAGTATAAGTGGCTGGGGGCAGGTAGTTGAGGGGGAAAATGGCAGGAGGGTAGGCACCAGGGGGCAAGTGGCCAGGGGGAGTCAGTGCCAGGGGGAACAAGTGGCCACATAAGGCAGGCATAGTGGGGGAGCGGGGAGCAAGTGCAGGGTGTGAGGCACTAGGGGGAGGCATGTAGCAAGGGAAAAAGGCCGTAGGGGGGAGGCACAGGGGGGCACAAGCATGGTGGGGGGGCGGGGAGGGAGAAGGGGCAGGTTGCCTGGTCCCTGTTGCTGTTTGCCCCTTTCCTTGCTTCCCTACCACTGATTTCCCTGCTGTAACAGTTGGGGGAGATGGACATAAGATGAACCTCCACTAATTAGGTCTATACATGGAAAATTATAGCAAATTTAGAGTTTTCCATATATAAAATCTAATTATTACAGGGTCATCTTAAATTTAAAGTTGTCTTGCATATGGGTAAATATGGTATTTCAAACTTTATAGGCCTGATTCTTAGCTGCTGTAAACTGGTACAACTCTACTAAGTCAAAAGGATTTATGTTTATTTACACACACTGAGAACATAGCATTATCTGTCTTTTTTAACACAGACTAAAACAAATCTGCACTGTCGTTATTAGGTCAGACTGGCTAAGCTTAAAACCCTTAGGAGCTCATATTGGTTGAGTTCAGAAAAGCACCAAAAAATTCTGATGTTTCTCTGGACTATCTAAAGCTCTTGGGACTGAAATATTAAACTAGAAATCAGGCTAGGAGTAGTTTCTTTCATATTTTATTGTTATCGGTCTTTTGCTACTGCTATATCAAAACTTTCCCGTAGCACTTGGGACTTCTAAACAACATCAAGAAAAGCAGAAGTGATCAGAAATGAAAAAAATAACATTTTAGAACTTATTCAACTTTTTCATAAATTGGTTTAGTTTCAGTTCATTTTGCATCAGAGTCACATGGCTTAATTGGTTCTTTTTTATCTTAACCTAATATTGTGAAATTAAGCAAAACAAACAAAAATTGCAAGAGTTTAGCTTTTATGGCTAAAAGGATAGGTGTAACTCAGCTTATATCATTTTAAACAGTAAATGTGTATAGTACACTCAGACATACAAAAAACTAGAACTCTCGGTTACAAAATGATACCTTTTATTAGACCAACTGGAAAATGGCAAGAGAATTGTCCTTTTCTGCAAGCTTTCGGGATCTAAGTCCCTTTGTCAGGCTCTGGGAAAGGTGTAGATGGTACAAGGGCTACTAAGTACACCTCTGAAATATAGTATACTCACTAACTTGTAGCTGAGTGAAAACCTATCTCATAGGAAGACAAAAATCCCTTCGTAAATGAATCCAATAGTTAACTGTCCTCAATATTAAAAACATTTACTGTATTTCCAGTTTGAATTTCTCTAGCTTTAGTTTTTTTAGCCACTGGATCTTGCCATATCTTTTTCTATTTGCTTAAAGAACCTTTTAAGTACCTTTTCTCCCATGTAGCTACTTATAGATGGTGATCAAGTAGCCTAACATTTTTTTTGATAAGCAAAAGAGATTGAGCTCATTACATCTCTCAAAATTTTATCCATCCCTTGGATGTCATTTAACATTCATGATTTCTTCCCTTTTCTATTTTTTGACAAATTTGCTGGCTACCAGTTTCCTGGCAACTAGCATTTTCCCCGCCCATATTCTACAGCTGCCACGGGCTTTCATTTTCTATCCAAAAAGCAGAATGTGTCACCTGCTATCAATACTGTCATTCATCCCTCTATATAAATTATCCAGAGAAGGGTACTTACCCAATGCTATTATTAGCAACTCACCCTGACAAATTTAAAGCACATTATCCACAGTTTATCTGATTTCTATTGGCCTAGGGCATTACATGGTCAAGAAATCATCACTGTACTTGAATATCTCAAATGAAATACAATGTCTTGCTATTTGTCTATTTCACTCAATTTATTCTTCATTATATTGTATATTTCATGTGTGTAACTCTATAACTTCTATCAGGAAGAACATTGAGCGTATGGACTCAGGTATTAACATACATCAGGTGTCATGTTCCAAGGGAGAGGGAGGCCACAAATGGAACATCTCTAGAGTTGAAAGAAGATGCTTAGACTTTCACTGCACCCACTTCTATCTGTGACAGGGAGCAAAGGTTACTTCTGCATGTATTTGCGAATTAAGCTATGGCAAAATCCTTTGCACTAGGTGAAACACTGCTTCAAAGTTGATGCTGCAAGAGTTAGTGTAAAAGATTTAATTATTCTGGGCTGCATGAGTAATAGAGGGTCTCTCAGAGATGAGGGACAGTGTAGGTAAATTGGGGATACTTGTCCTATCCCTCTTTAGATGCAGAAGGCATTCCCCTCTAGTACTTATGCAAAGACAAAAAAGTTTTGAGAAAAAAAAAACATATCTCCCCCACCCCTTCTTTTTTTTTCCTCTCACATCAGTGGAAAGTGGGGAATTGTTCATTTTCTAATCTATTTTATGGATGGTGTCTGTCCTAAGATGCTGAAGGTTAATGATTAATATAATATCATACTGTCTGGAGAGGTACAATGCTAGATACGTACCATGTGCTATATTTTTCCCATCAGTCCTACAGAGCCCGCTGAACAGCTTAGTGTCAAGTTGCTTTAAGTTAAAAAGAGGCCTCACCACAGAATTTTGGCCCAGCCTGCCACAGAGTTCATAGAGCCAGCAGGAAAGTAAAACTGTGCTATTTTGTACCACATATAAAGACACAGGCAAGTAAAAAAATGTTGATATCCAACTTGGCAGGAGAAGATGAGTGAATTGCACCCATTATTCCCTCCCCTGCCCTCCAAACAGCTAAAAACAGCCAATCCAGGACAAGGACACCAAGTCCCTGAACAGTGTCTGGGTCAGCTATAGAAGTAGCCAGCTCAAATGCAGCTGCCAGAAGGACCTCTGTTATGACATGAAATCCTGTGTCCCAGCTAGGACTTTGGCATCATTTTCTCCATGCTCGCTGCTTTGCTGCTGTTTTAGCTGAAACTTGCCAGCTTTTTATCCAGCCATTTCATTGCTTGCTTATTGTTGCCATTTAATTAGCTTGGCCAGTGATTTAATACATTCAAGCCATTTGACTGACTCTTCTTTGCTGCCATATAATTACCCTTGCTAGCTTTCCCTTCCTTGCTGTTAACAAATTGACTGCTCCATTGCTGCCATTTGGGTAACTGAACCTGAAATTTTATTCATCTCTGCCAATGGATTAACTCTTTCATATTACTGGTTTTAACTTTTTTTTTCTCTTGATATACTCATTACTTCTTCCCCCTGGGGCCCACCATCCTGCCTCTTTCTTTTCCTGATTACCACCTTCAACTTTACACTCTCTTCCACATTCTCAACCACTTTCTTTCTTAAGCCCTGCTCCCTTTGTCCCACTCCTAATCCCAGGTCTTAAAACATTAAACAAGTTTAATAGAACAGTTTTGTGTGTGTAAACACTATGCAAATATATATGAACATGGAGATATAGAAGAGTGAAAGCAAGGAGCCTGATTCTCCTCTGCTATGCATGTTGAATCATCATTTACACCTCTGCAAAGCAAGTGTAAATTTCTCCTTTGCTAAAACACCTTGCTTTCGTCTTGGGTAACTAAAAGGGAAAGCAGCAGAGTCAGAAATTTTACAGAGCTAGTGTCCGGCCCTGCTGCTCCCCCTCCCTCCCCCCCACCCCCAAACACATTATCTTGTTTTTCCAATAACATATTTACCCTTAACACTTTTCTCCTATCACTTTTTGGGGACCATTGACTCAACTCCTCTCTTCTGCTCAGAAAGCCCAGGGTGCAAGGGAAGGTGCAAGCTCCACTGAGATAACATATTTCATAGTATAGCTGATGGCAGCTCTGTATCTGGTTGGCTACAGCTGCATGAATCCATCTCCTCAAAGGACTTGATAGAGTGCAATTTGTTTTGTCCTGTCCCTGTCATACTCTGTACTGAAGGTTATCAGAGGTGTGGCATAAAACTAGCTGTAAGTGCTCCCAGCTACGATCAAGGAATACCAAACCGGAGGAACTGGATTGCTTCCTGGCTACTTTCTCTCACAAGCACTGAAATCCCATGTTGAGATTTGGTGAGGCACTTTAAATTATACGGTAAATATGCCTAAGCAAAGGAAAGGATGCAAGGACTAAACAGAATCAAGTAAAATTATTTGTGCATCCTTCAGGAGAAGTCTTAGAAGGAGTTGAAAGGAAAGTCAGGCAAAGGAATGGAAAACCTGAATGAGTGGGGAGGAGGGAGGAGAAGGCAGGAAGAGTGGGTAGCCTGCAAATTGTTCCATATTCATTTTAATGCTGTCTTTTGTTGTATCAGTAGCCTGTCATTGTCTTCCTTTGGGAAGCACTTAGCAAACCATGAAACATCAGGATAAACCCATCACTTTTCAGTGCTAAATGCAAGACAAGGTTGTTTGTTTTATTTCCTCCTGTTGTAAAACAGTACTTTGTGAAAACAATCTTTCATTCGTCCTCACCAATCAGGCCCCAGAGACTCACCCCTCATGTCCCCTGATTGGCCCCTTGGGTCACCCGGATGGGGATAAAAGGGGCAGCACGGCTGACTCAGGGAAGAGACCAGCGAGGGACTATGAGTAAGGAGCTGACAAGAGCTTAGCCAGCGGGGCAGGAGCAGTTGCCCCAGAAGAGCCTGAAGGAGCAGGACCTGCAGGCAGCAGTTGGACCCTCAGCAGCATGACGTATGGCCAGCAGGAGAGGCTCCCTGCAGGGCTCCAGGATCCCCTACGAGAGGCTGTAGCCAGCAGGAGAGGCTTCCTGCTTCAGCAAGGATCTGAGCAGCAACCTGAGGGGTTCCCAGCTTGACTTCCAGCTCCTCCAATCAGAGACCAGGCAGCTCAACGTGAGGCCAGGGCTCCAGGAAGGTCAAGACCCCTAGTAGCTTAGGGCAGTCCCAGCACTGGTGGCTGTGTGGCAGTGTTCCTGCTTACCCTATTAAGAGATCTGAGTTCAAGTCCCCATTTTGGTGACTTGAGGTGAGTATGCTAACAAGTAGAAATTCTTCTTGCAGTGGAAAGGGGCCATTATGTTTTCCCCCTTTCTCCCCTTCCAGGTACCTAGGCCCTATATTTCTTTGTCCTTTGACATTTTGTATTTTGTGCCTTTTTAAAGTTCCCCAACCAGTATTGTTTGCTCTGCTGTTTGTGTTTTATATTTTGTTAACCCTGTCTTGGGGCACTGTAGTGTCCACTATACCCCCTGATTATGCCTGTTATGTTCCCAGTATTGTTCCCTCATTAAAAGGTATATGGTTAAGTTCCCAGTAGTGGTCTGGCTCTGCTCTATAGGGGGAGGAGAGTCCCTACACCTCCCACAGCACTTGTGCACCTGCTTTGATCCCTTCAATGGGAGAGTACTGCCCGGGTTACACGTATATAAGCAAATTCACTCACTATGCACCACCATTTTCAGCACTTTCAAATAATACCATCCTTTGTCACCCTGAATCCCCAGATCTATGCATGAGGTGGGAGTGAGGTGGGCTGCCTGCTGTGGGCTCAAGTGTGGGAGGGCTGCTCCCCACCACTGTGCATGCTCCTAGGCAGCAGGGGGGACCTGCAACCCCCAGATCTGTGTACAGGGTGCGGGAGTGGGCTGCCAACATCAGGCTCGGGCTCCTGCCCAAAGGCCTTCGCAGCTCAGCGGGTGCATCCCAGTGCTGCAAAGAACAGCAGGGTTGCACGAGAAAGCTGCTTGCCACTGCCAGCTCTGCACTACCCTGGTTACACATCCCCTGCGTGCAATCCCATGTCGCCACCTGGACTGCAGCCATGCCCATGGGGGATGCTATGCTAGGCAGATCAGAGCTCACAGCAGCAAGCAGCTTTCCTGCACAGCCCCGCTGTTCTGTGCAGCGCTGGGTCACAACTGCTGGGCTGTGGAGGCCCCGGGGGAGGGCAGCAGAGTGAGAGCCTGCACTGGGCAGTGTGCAGTCCCCACCCTATGTACAGACCCGGGGGGCACAGGTCCCCCTTGCCCCCAAGGAGTGTGCACTGCAGCGGGAAGCCACCCCCCTGCCTGAGCCCACAGAAGGCAGGCAGCAGGGGGAGCCAGGCTCTGCTCCACTGCAGAAGCCACTGCCTCCTGCCAGGGGCAGAGGGCTGCAGACCCAGAGTCCCTGACCCCATAGCCCTGCCAGCTGGGGGCCCTTCCATCAGGGCTGGAGGGTGAGGGGCACCAGCAGGGCTGGGGGAGGCTGTGGCGGGGGAGTGAGGGTCAGAAGCAGGGCTGAGGGGTTGTGGGGGGACTGAGGAGTACCAGCAAGCCCAGGGGGCTGTAGGGGGAGGGGGAGTGAGAGGCCCCAGCAGGCTTGTGGGAGCTGTGGGGAGAGTGAGGGGGACCAGCAGGGCCAGGGGAACTGTGCATGGTCTTTCATTTTAATCACGGATTTGGGGAGTGTTATGAGAGAATTTGTAATTTTTTTTATCAGGGAAAACCAGGACCTGTGGTTATGCAGGAGCTTGTTTGGTTAAAGGTCGGACATCCCCTGTGTACTAAACCCCAAAGAATCAGAAAAGATGATTTTAGGGGCATGCAAAAGAAGGATACTGCTGTGTGGCAGGAAGCTCTCTCTCCAACATTACACAACAGGGCTAGGGATAGAAATTACACACAAATCGGTTTAAGTGATAAGAAACTGGTTTAAACCTGTTACAGAATAGAAATTCAGTCACGTAAACACGTTTCAAAATGGCTGAAGCTGGTTTAAAATAAACCTGGTTTAATGTAGTATCAGAATTAACTGATTTAGGTCACATTGGTTTATGAAACTTCTGTCTTAGACCCCTTCCTGGTTTAAGTTAAATCACAGTCCCCCAGTATCCCAACATTTTGCAGCCCTTTGCTGTGCTATGCTATTTGCTCCAGAGAGCAGGGCTGGCCCTGTCCCTCTGCTCCTTAGCTGGAGTAGTGAGGGCTAGCTCACTGGCCTTAATGGGTGGCTCACTGCCCCCTCCCCACGCCCTCTCCAGGCAAACCCCTGCTGGCGTCTGGGGCCAGGGAGGGGGGTTAAACTTCCTTTTCTCCAAGTACAGAGCTGTCCTGCCCTGCTTACTTAGTGCTGGCTGTGACTGTGGACTACAAATCCCAGAGGCACCTGGGAGCAGGAAGAGGAAGTGATGAGCAACCCTGCAGAATCCTGCTGCTATGAGTGTGGATTGCAAGTCCCAGAGACCTTGGGAGCAGCAGGAAGAGGAAGTGAACACACAACCTATGCTGGCTACATGCCAGAGAGTTGTGCTCTAGCACTCCCTGGTTTCTGGCTTGAGCCACTTCAGGCATGGGGCTGCTTTTTCTGAATCAGAACTGAATGTGTATTAATTTGCTTATTGGTTCAATCTCTGCAGTTTAGACTAACCTGCAAAGATTGAATCAGTTCAGCCTCAGGCCTTCTGGCTGTCTGTACTTAGCCTGGAAAAACCTTTACGAGTGCTCAGTGAGGGATATGCTCTGTGAAGGAGACCTTGACTCCCCACAGCTTGTCTGTTATTAGTCCCCAAGCTGCCTTAGCATTTACCAGGATTCCTCTTCTACTGAGAGAACTGTCTTATATCACTCACTGAAAGTGGGACTGAGGGCTCTAGGAAGTGGACAGTACCAGTGACACAATGCTATCATGAAAATCTCCTGGTCCCAGCACTTCCAGGAAGATGGGTCTGTTCTTTGATGAACCAGTGGAGTTAAATACGTTCTTCAGGGAGAACCATCTGCTGACTTCCTGTTATCCTCCTCTGCCCAGCTACAAGGGAACGATTAGCTGGAAACTCTGACAGTAAACATTCATGGAGTTTCCAATCCCCTACATGGGAATACCCCACATAGATGAAGCATCTGACAAGTCACCAAGACTAAAAATAAATGTCTTGCTGTATTGAAGCCCCCGCTTTCCTGGAAAGTTATGAGCCATCAGGTCATAAAATGACATCACTCTGATGACCAGCTTACTTTTCTCCCTCTATTTGGTTTCTGACATAATTGCAGTAGTAAGCAGTATCTTAGCAATGAATTATGTCAACCACTTGAAAGGTGGAATTCTAAGCTTACAGGTGGGGTAATAAAGCTTTGATTTCTTAGCAAGTCTAGTCAAAGTTATTTTCCCCTCATTTTGCAATTCTGCAAGTCAGACAACCTACATTGTTAATATCTACTTCATCCTCAGACTGAGCAGTATCTGATATATGTGCTAGGTAATGGATATGCCACTTCCACAAAAGAATCTGGTGGCAATGTTATTATTTTTCAGACCCTCATAAAAACTGAGAAAACTATGACAGACCAACACACACTGGAAACATAAAATTATGTTTTGAATAAATCAGCAGTCTATATCTTGGACCCAGCCACAATCTGTTTAACTGTGTTAGAAGTAAAAAGTTTATACAGATTTCTAGGAGACTATAGGAATAGTCGCATTAAATATTATTTGTCATGAATATAGTTGAATTGCATTTGAAGAATAAATAAGCTTTGAAAATATAAAGGTATAAAATGTCTAATATATGCAAATTGAGAAATGTTAATATATAACTAGATATATATTTACACAAGTAAGAGTAATAGCTCCAAAGAAACTATTCTGGCCCACTGGGTAAATAAGATGCATTTTCTAAATGATTCAAATAACTACTTGCTCTGTAAGGGAGAAAATAGGCTAATTACCAGTAAGGTACTTACATGAGTTTCTTGTGCATATTTACCTGGGAGATACATATGGCTTCAAAGGAGTTTTCAGCAATTATTGTCTGACCTCTTAAAACAATATTCTTCTTAATTTCTATGCAGAAGAAAAAAAAAAGATGGGAAAGCCACAAACCTTTATTTAATTTGCTTATTTAATTACAGATAAACCAGCTCTTAATGCAGTTCATACTTACAGGACAATGAGAGAAGCCCAAAGAGAGAGAGATATTGGGTACATCTACACATGCCCCTGAGTGCGCAGTTGGTACTGTGCATTCATTTAGTACTTGCTTTAGCAAGGTTAGTGCCTGCTGATGCTGTATCACCATAGAGATAAACTACATCTCCATAGCTCATCCCTACGGTGACATAAGATCTTGTGTAGACATGCCCACTGTGAAGCAAAATTCAATTGGCCCAGCTATACATTACAGTTTTTTTCCCCAGTGAAGCTATGTCACTCTAGGTTGTGTGAAATCATGAGCTGTGATCAGGTGGGCCATTGCTGTAGTTGCAGTTATACCATCCAAACTGTGTTTATACTAGTATAGCTTATTACACCTGGTAAATAAGCTAGGAGAGCAAAAGGGTTGTTTTGCCAGTGTAAGTCATGTATACAGTATGAGCACTTTGCCAGAAGTATATGTGTAATATGTCAGCAAAGCTCTCCTAGCACCTCAGCGGATTATAATGTATAACAAATATCCCTTTAAAATGAACTTTTTCTTCTGCAGAGGCTTTTCTGTGTGCATAGTGAAGACTTCCCTATGAGATGGCTCTAAGTCATAATGTAGGCCAGATAGCTCAAGTTAGTGTTAGGTTGGGCTCTACCGCCCTTAAGGAAACTCCCAGTCAGATTGTGTCTTCAGAAGGGGAAGATGTCTTCCCTAGTGCACATCAAAAGAGTGGATTCTGCCACATCCCTTTCTATGGCACAGTGTGGCCTCTCATGTGTAAGTGGCTACGAGCCATTACTAAACTCCTGCCTCTGCCTACAGCCCTTGCCTCAATGAGGAATGTTGTATGTTAGG